TTGCGGGACTGGTTATTAACTTGGTTAGTTTTTGTTGTTTTGCCGTTGTTACACTTCATTTCCACTGGTCGATTTCTCGACGTAAGGATGTTTTTACAGGCAGAGAAAAATGGCTTAAAATGTTTTATGCATTATACTTGAGTATAGCTCTATTGATTATCCGTTCAGTTTATCGTATCATTGAATTCGCCATGGGTTTCCGGGGTTACATCGCTACTCATGAAGTTTATTTCTATGTTTTCGAATGTATACTGATCATTTTTGCATTTGGTCTATTCATACCACTGCACCCGGGCATTTGGATGCCGTCAGCGGATACAATCAAGCTACATAGTATACCACGTGAGGATATTGCTGCTATCGTTGAATAATATCCACTGCCTCCGACGAGTGCTACCAGTAGTCACTTCATTTGCAAATTGAAGTAAAACTGAAAATCGGGTGAAATCGTTTAATCAGTGTACATTGAACAATTTAGCACATGGAAGAATCAAGTAATATCGGGGCTTGTAAATTTTTTGCACAAGAAACTGTTTAAACTCTCAAAATTAATGTAAAAATATAAGATTAGAATGATTCATCAGTATTATTATTCGCTTCATTCGATAGTGCAGGCTACAAAACTTGTCAGCATTTTTTACCACAATATGAACGGTGGCAAATCCAACTTGAAATTGTTCTAGAGACGATGTCAATGCATACATTTTGACGAATATCGCCTGTTGAATGTCTGAGCTGACCGGGTCATCTTCATTTTGATTCAGGATCGTCACTACAATGTGCATTCTAGAGATAGGTAGGAAAGAGTCTTTTCTCGCAGTCGTACTAATCAACAGTACTAAAAACTGCATGTAAGGAGAGACACGAATAGATATCCTCCAAACAACCGTCATCGAAAGAAAATTCCATAATCCCCACTTGCATTCCTTAAAGAAGAAACCTAGAAACGACGTTGCGTGAAACAGTTCATACGCATCAATGACAGCACGAGTCACTAGTTCAGAGAAAGCGCCTCGCACATGAAAGAAATCGATGTGTCTCACTGTGAAATTCGAGAGACGTGTCCAAAGATGATTGTTTGCGATATCTTTGAATATCACATTGACTTTGGCTTCAAGATTTGCTCGTTCTTCAGCTCAGATTCGATATTGGTTTCTTGCTTTTCTCCGTCCTTCTGTTTTCTTCAATTCATCAACTATGTTTACAGATGATCGACACTAATTTTGCGATATCAACTTCTTGATCGCACATTGTTAACATCACTTGAATGACACTCAAATCGATTTCGAACAAGTCTTTACTGGGCAAATCGTTATCTTCAGCTGCTGCAATCAATCGAAGTTTCAGTGAAGATGACCGAGAGAATAGGTGTTCATGAAAGCTGAGAGATAGCTGGTTACCTGGAACGCACACTGTTTAAAAGATCTTTTCGCTTCTTCTCTCACTTCTTGTTGGCGAAACAGTATTTTTTGTTTGTGACAACAAATGTACAGCAGCACGCTCTGTTTGATAGAAGCCTGATGTTGTCACAAATAATCTCACGTGACACTTGCCAAACAGAATTATGCAGATCGTCGAGATGAAGCAGATCAATTGGCAAATGTCAGCTGGTTTCGTCGATGACATCATTCTGGAGAGACACTTCAATTAGCGAGTATCGAAGTTCATTGCCAGATCTCGCTCAATCTGCGATCAAATGGCAATGAAGAGGTAGAGCGAAATAGTAGAGTCCATGGATCTCTGAAGTAAAATTATCTTGAGCAAGAAGTGAACAGTTCAGTCGAATCCGAAGTATTGTTTGAGAGAAGAGCTTCAGCTTGATTCGACAAGCGGCGGAGCCGATGATAGTTTTTAAGCACCTTTCGCTTGTACATAAGTTGTAAGCCCGAATTGGTTAAAGATATATGTGACAGTCTTTGTAATGTGAAAACAACAGAAACGAAAATCTGAAATCTGAAATGATCGTTTTGATCCTCAAGAATTCGTAAATTGGAAAAGATACGATAAAATGTGGATTTACGAATTCGTAGATGCGAAAGTATATCCGATGGATTCGTAAATAGAATTCGTAATCTTCGCAATTCAACTCGTATTGTTCTGATATTAATTCTCACATAGGTTTACAAATTCGTATTTTACGAAGTGGTATGGATAATAATTAATTTTTTCCTAAGTGCAAAAAAGGTTAGAATCGTTTCTGCTTATCGATTCACATCGTTCTCACCTCAATTCGCCGTTATTTTTACGAATTGACGTCAAGGACAAGAAAGTTTCCCCTTTTCGCATCCATTCGCATAGTTCTCATACTAATTCGTAGACAGTTTTACGATGTCATTGGATGTACTTTAGAAGATTAAGGCATAAATTGCGAATTCGTACATTGTAAACTGGGAATTATTTATAAAAAATACTCGGCCATTTTCAAAAAGTCCAATGTATAAAATCCTCACGGATTTTCTAGATTATAGAAAATCGAATTTCCAATAATGTGGAAAATCGACATCGATTTTCTACATTGTGGAGAATTATTTATAGAAAATCCTCAGCAAATATCCGTCTAGAATCGCCGAGGATTTTCTAGATGATGAGGAAGAACAATTTGTGTGAGAATACTGATAATCAGAGACTTGCAAAGTAAAAATGGCTAAAGATAAAGCTTTTCACCTTGACTAAAAGCTATTGAACTTCGAAGTTGAGTGGGGTGTATTATTTCAGCTTATTGGATGACAATATGGATCTTTTACTAGTGAAAATCAAATTCGACATCGAGCACGTGTTAAACGACTGACTGCTATTTTATTTAAAAAATAATAAAATAAATGTGAATTATTAGGATCATGTCTTTGAGTTAATAGAACCAAGTACATTTTTGGAAGATGCTAAACTCAAACAGAAAAATGAGGAATATTAGCAAGAGCGAATCGCTTTTCGATCTTCAGAAAGTTGTCGTGAAACTCGACTTTATCTTAACCAGCCAACCCAAGAAACTTTTCAGTATCTCTTTCTGATCGCCAAGTGTCATACAGCAACAATAGTTCTCAAGAATATGCTGATTTGCAAAAACTGAGAGAATTTTCCGAATCTACTAACATTTCCGATGCTAAATACTAAAACGAGCAGAGATCTGTTACAGGACAACTTGTTGCAATGCAGGCTTTAATACTGTAGATGTGAAAGAAACAAGAAAAAAATTATCGATTTGTCTTCTTAGAAAATCGAATTCGATTTTCCAACTATTTCGGAAATCGCTGTCGATTTTCTACAATGTTAGAAATTATTTATAGAAAATCGCTGTCGATTTTCCAACTTTTTAGAAATTCCTTATCGATTTTCTGGCAAATGAGAAAAGTCAGTTTACAGAAAATCTGCTCGATTTTCTATAATGGATAGCACCGTATTCAACATACATAATTTTTGGTTGCACTTTGGGTTTGAAAGTAATCGATATTGAAGCTTTACCATATTTCCTCTATACTTTTTTATTCTTAGTTTGGTTTAAGCCTGTGATCTTGAACCAGAACGAAATCGAGAATATAAATTCCCATTATATCATTCTGAAACTTAAACTTATCAAAACACAAAATCAATCCTTGCACGAAGCTAGGATCGAACACACGAACTTGATCTTTGTAGACGAACTGCAAAAATCAACCTCGCTGTTCTTTCCTATATTCTGCACAATGATTGAAGTTGTGCAATAACTCGATGTTATCCTTCAATATATATTTTTTTTTATTGTGTTTTTGTGTTTTGTTTTTATTCTTATAATACACAAAGAAATGTTCAATATGTTTCTTGTAGAGAAATGAATGAGGGATCTGTTATAAAAGAGATTGAGACTTGGCGATCAACCTTGAACGAGATGTTGCTAAAGTACTATTTATTTTGGGTCATCCGTCACACTAATGTTACTTTTTCAGTAAAGTTTTTTAAGTTAATAACTCACTCAAAAATGATCGAAATTACTTCAGAATATCAAGATATCCTCTGTTTTATTCGCACAATCTGATTCTGTACTTAAAATAAATAAAAAGTATTCTCCCACAACTGATTTCTAGAAAGCGTTCTCAAAAAAGTTTTTGAGTGAGTTATGAATTTGATGACTGTGTCGTAAATGTTCTGCGACACAGTCGTCTACCGTGGCTCAGGACAGCGAGGGAAAGTGTGCAAGTCTAATCAGGATGAATTGTATAGTTTTATAGACGTACTTGAAGTATGATCCTCAATGATTCTAGTATCGGCATAGGCAGATTGAATTAAATTCAGAAGTGAGAATATAACTAATATTGACATTTTCATGACGTTCATTTTTTCTAATACTAAATGTATTCACAATCCTATGATAGAAGTAAATCCGAAATTAAAATACACGTACCGTTTATTATACTATTCTTTATTGTATTTTAACTCTTATGCTCTTAACGAGAATTATTCTTGTTTCTTTTATATACTTGATGTTGAAACAGGTAAAATCGAGAAGTTACTCATTCATTTCAGCTTTCGCTGAATAATCGAGGTTGATTGATAAAGCATATAAGTTTTCGTTTGTTTTACTCTTCTATTTACTGATAATTTTTTAACAAAAAAATTCAACGCTTCTTCTCTTATCAGTTCTATATCACAAACTACTAAATCGTAGTTTCTCACGGTAGAAGGGTAACAAAATACAGAAGTTATTATGTAATTACAAGAAGGATCCTTTTTGTTCGGTATTGAGATCATGGGCAATCTGTCATACTTCTTCTAGCGGATGTGGCATAAAGAACGGACCATTTAGTATTTTCTATTTTTCTCGTGTTTCTTTAGAATCCTAAGGCTAGTGTTTTTTCAAAAGATGCTCCGTAAAATACTCTACAAGGCCATACCTAAATTTGAATTTCAGAACTTTAATTAAGGAAACTACTCAAATTATTCGAAAGTTGAAAAAAGAAGAAGGCTCTGTAGGTGCTTTTGACAAAATTTGGCACAAAGCATTGTTGGTTAAACTTGCGCGATTTGGAATGCCACAACAACTTTGGCTGTGGATACGTGACTGGCTCCAAGGACGAAAGGCATGTATCTCTTTTGATGGGTTGCAATCAGATTTTTTCGACATTGAATGGGGCTTGCCACAGGGATCAGCTCTCTCTCCGTTAATTTATATTCCCTATGTGGCCGGTTTAACGGAGCTTCATGACGCAAGATTCCATAAAGATCACTTTTTTGCTGATGATTGGTCGCTATTTTTTGAGGTTCCATTTGGTATCGAGTACCGCTATTCCTTCAAGTTGTTGAAATATCTGGCTCAGAATGCTCTTGATCGGA